TTTACTATAGATTTTTCTTTTTATGTCTACAAGTCATTCTTTGTAGAATCCTTTTTTAAATCATCTGTTTTAAGCTTTAGTTCTGTAGACTTATGGTCATCGGACATTTCTCAATATATTACCTTTGCTTGTATCAACTTTTCTATTGCCTCTGCATCAGCACTTGATGCTTCTCCTCAGTCCCATGTATAATTTTATTCTTTATCCATAATATTTACTGTTCTTACTGTAGTACTTTTTTACTGTCTTCATTGTGCTCCTGCCTTAAAAAAATAAGTGTTGAACAAGAGTGAAACACATGTTCATAGCATCAGATGACTGAAAAAAAGAAAACCGAGATGTCTTATTCTGTTTACTATCTTACAAAATGTATTCTGTATTCATACTTCATGTATTTTTCATTTGTCCTTAATGGACAACTTGACTACTGTTTAACTTGGGATAGTTTACATTGATTAATAGCTACTGATTTTTCTCTGCTTTTTTAAAAAATTATTTTATTTATTTATTTTAATTTGACCAGAGAGAGAGAGAGAGAGAGATAAATTGAGAAAGCAAGTCACGAGGTTTGGGCCTAAAAACGGGGTCAGCCATGTGGGAGTATCCAGCGCCTTAACCACCATGCTACCTACTGGTCCCCTCTCTCTGCTTTTAAGAACTATGTCGAGTTCTTTAACGTGAATTGTCCTTTTCCCTCTCTTTTTTTAGTTTTGCTATGTGGTACATGTGCCTATGTTGAGATGGGGAGGGGGAGAAAGAGAAGAAAACTGAGAAAGCACCCTCCCAAAGGGGCAGCCACACTGCAGTCCCCTTTCCTTCACTCTGCTCTTAGGATTTTGGGCACGCACCCAGTGTGTTTTTCAAGCTGCCAGGTCTAAGACTTGAACTGCAGTTGGCCATGTGGAATCCAGCTGCCTTAACCACTACACCACCGACTAGCCCTCATATAAATTTTCTTAAGCTACACACACACACACACACACACACACACACACACACGAAGTTGGTAATATTTCCATTTTGTAACTGAGGAATCTGAAACCTAGAGAAAATAGTAACTTGCTCCAAGTTACACAGAGTAGTGAATGACAAAACTAGGATTCGAACCCAAGCTTATCTGAGTAGTTTGCATGCACAAAATATTTATGATATACTCCTTAGCCTGAATGTAGAAGGGAATATAAAGAATGTTTTCTCTTTATTGCTGGGCACAGAAGTAGTCAGAAGCAACATTTTCATACATTTATTCCAACTGATTGGCGTATCTCTGTCCCTAGGTACTCCCTGTCTTCTCGGTGCTTTTGGTTACCTGTGGCACTTATAGACCTTCGTTACTTCCCCCTTCAAAAGGCATTTGGGATGCCAAAGTTACTTATATCCCTCTTTATTTTCCCCTAAAATAACACTCTTTATTCTCTATAATCAACCCTCAGTTCATTGTAATTGACTTTGTGGGGGAAGTGGTGATTAAATTAATTCACATGGTAAAATAATTGGTTAAGTCCTCAACTTTTTTTTTTTTTTTTGGAGAGATTTTGCTCTAGGGCGCGTGCGCTCACCAGACAGAGTGAGATAGAAAGCAAGAAATCACCCCCCAGGGGGGATGGTCACGCTGCAATCCCTTCTCCTCCATTCTCCTCTTGGGATCTTGGGCATGCACACACACTTCTCCGATGTGAGTTTTAAGCCACCGGGTCTAGGACTCGAACCACGGTCGACTACATGGGAGTCCAGCGACATAGCCATTACGCTAACTGCTGGTCCCAAGTCCTCAACTCTTTAATGAATGTCTGTATAAAGTTCATTTTATTCATGATAGAGAACATGTGAGAGAGACAGAGAGAGAGAGAACACTCTCATCAGGATACTTTCTCCTTTTCCCAACCCGGGATCCTGGGCACTGGCCTATTTTCAAGTTTACTGTGGGATCCAAACCTGTTGTTGACCATGTGTCTTCCAGCACTGCAATTTAGTTTGCTGCCAGCTGCACCATGAGACTGGACCAAAAATCTGTATTTTAAAATTTAGGATATTTGTTTACCCAAATTAACCTTTTAATTGATAGTATCTTAGGTGGGATAGTAAAGTTAAAAAAAAAAAAATTAAGCCTACTAGGGAAATACTTGGGATAGGCAGATCATATTGTTGATGATTCATCTCTGAAGTTTGGCTTAACAGATTTCTTATTTTCATAGCATCTTTTATTTTACTTTAGGACCCAAGTTCTCTAACTAGTTCCTATGGCAGTGGCATTGGCGTTCTGGTAGGTGCAGAGTGGTGGAATGGGTGACAACAGTTTGTATGCAGGATTTTATTTATTTATTTATTTATTTATTTATTTATTTATTTATTTAGGGAGAGGTTTTTGCTATAGGGTGCGTGCGCTTGCCAGACAGACAGAAAGAGACAGAGAGACAGAAAGAGAGCGGTCGACTACATGGGAGTCCAGCGACATAGCCATTACACTAACGGCTGGTCCCCACCTTTTTATTTATTTTTAAAAGACTTATTAATTTAATTGAATTATTTTTTTATTATTTTAAATTTGCTGTAGGGCATGTGTGCTCACTAGAGAGAGACAGAGAGAGAGAGAGACAGAGAGAGAGCACACAAGCCTCCAGGTAGAGAGAGAGAGAGAGAGCGAGTGAGCGAGCGTGAGCCTCCAGGTCCCGGATGGAACTGCAGTCAGCCATGTGGGAGTTCAGTGCCTTAACAGTCACACTGGTGGCCCCTGCAGGATCATTTTAAAATAGAATTTTCTTATGAATAAATAAATTTCAAAATGACCGAAGGCCAGCATTCATTTCTCTTAGGGCAAAAGTGAGTTTCACTCCACTATCACCGTATAAGTCCTGGGTCTGGGACTTGAACTGTGGTCAACTTTGTGAGAGTCCAGCAATGTAATCATTATGCCATCTGCTGTCCATGATTTCATTTTTTAAAGTGCATTTTCTGGTGGTGAGAATGTAAATTTGTACATTCTACAACCGAGAACTTTTGGCTCAGTTCGTGAATTTAGGGAGAGGTAACTGGGATGAAGAAAGTAAGAACTGGGCCAGTTCAGTGAATTCTTAAAAGTTTGCAAGATAGAAGAGCTTAGCAGGTGAGGCTAGCAGATGGCATGGATGTTAAGGCAGCTGGATCCCACATGGTCTACAGTGCAGTTCAAGTCCCAGACCTGGCAGCTTGAAAAGCACGCCACATTCATGCATGTGCATACATGTCCAAAGTCCCGAGAAGAAAGTGGAGGAGAAGAGATTGTGGCGCGGCCATCCCCTCAGGGGTTGATTTCTCACTTTCTCTTTCTGTCTCCCTCTCTCAGGGGAATGCACACACCTTATAGCAAAACTAAAAAGTAAAAGAAGAGGTAACAGAGACAAGGATAGAGATTAGGATCCTAAGGAAAAGGATGTATATGTTCCTTTATGTCAGGGTGAAGCAGGTGGGAGAAGATCTAGAACTTAATAAAAAGGTATTTGGTGTGTTGTGCAGAAAAGTGAGAGACTTGATAGACTGATACCACTACTATATAAATCATGTAAACCTATGGCTTTATAAAAGTACTACCAAGGGACTGCCTAGATTACTTCAGTATTTCCAGAAGAAATGAGTAGAAGGATATAAAACTGGAGAGGTAAATAAGGGTTAAGTCTTGCATGTAGTTCAAGAGAAATTCAACCTTTTCCAGTAGTCAATCCAAAACTGTTGATGTGGGAGATCCACAGCCTTTACATTATTTTGCAATATAGAAGGTATATCAAAGGAACACATAATAAAAAACAGATGCAGTAGTTCATTAATAGATGGTAAATACTTGAACTAAGACTGTAGCAGGCTGGCCCTGGGGCCTAGGGGTTAAGGGAGCCTTAACCTGGCTGACTGTGTGGTTGGAATCCCAACGCCAGAGGCTGGAAAAACTTGCCAGGCGCGTGTGTGTACATGGCCAAAATCTTTGTGGGGTAGAGAAGGGATTGGAATATGACTACATCCCATTGGGGTTTGTTTTCTTTGCCTCTTTCTCTGTCTCTCTGATGAGCACATGTGCCCTTTGGCAAAGTAAGAGGTTAAAAAAAAAGACTATAGCAGTGGAGAGAAGGGGTTGGATCATAGTGGTATTAATGAAATCAAACTGTAGGGTTTGTTGGTTGACTAGTGAGATGTTCACAGTTAAAGGGTAGAAAATAGTCTATGAAAGTTTCTCAAGTTTGAATAATACATATATGAAACCCTTTTAAAGGATAATCCTCCCTGGTACTGTAGAACTTAAGTATACCCAGATTTAAGGCAAACCCAAAATGAAAATCAATTTTGTATTTTTCCAATTTTCAAAAAAGGATGTCTGGTGTTTACATTAAAAAAAAATTATTCTGAAGTACACATACCAAAATTTATCTTTTTTTTTTTTTAAGGGAAATTTTTGCTATAGGGCATGTTTGCTTGCTGGAGAGGCAGAGACAGAAAGCAAGAAATCATTCCTCCAAGGGAGATAGCCATGCTGCAATACCTTTTCCATTATTCTCTCAGGATTTTGGGCACACATACACCTGGCATGAGTTTCAAGCCGCCAGGTCCAGGGCTTGAACCATGGTTGTCCATGTGAGAGTCGAGTGACATAACCATTACGCCATCTGCTGGCTACCAAAATTTATCATTTTAATAACTTAAAAATTTGTTGTGTGTGCTCTTCAGCAAGGGAGAAAAAGACGGTGAGAGAGGGAGGGAAAGAAAGTGAGAGAGCACCCCTCATAGGAAATGGTCATATTGCAATCTCTTTTTCATTTCTCTCTTTTTTTGGAATTTTAGGCATGCACGCACATGCACCTGATGTGTTTTTCAAGTCACTGGGTCTGGGACTTGAACCATGTGGTCAGCCATGTGGATCTAGCTGCCTTAGCCATCAGGCCACAGGCTGGTTCACTATTTTAATCATTTTTAAGTATACAGTTAAATGCTATTAAATACATTCGTAACGTTGTATAACCATTACCATCACTCATTTTAGCTTTGCGCAGTGGCAGTATTGTAGCCAATGAGGTTTATCTGAGGCGCGATTATTGCTAATTGAAACCATCACTCATTTTCATAACTTTCTGTCTTATAAAACCGAAACTGTATTATCTGTTAAAACAGTTTATTTCCCTTTCCTCATTCCCTGTTCCTCTAGCCCCTAGCAACCACCATTCTGCTTTCTGTTTCTATATTTTGACTATTGTAAATACCTCATAGGAGTGGAAATCATACAGCGTTTGTCTTTTTGTGATTGGCTTATTTCATTGAGCGTAATGTTCTTGAGGTTAATCCATGTTGTAGCATATGTCAATTTCTTTGCTTTTTAAGGCTCCATGGTACTATATTGTGTGTGTCTATATATATACATATGTGTGTGTATATATGTGTATATATACACCACATTTTATTTATCTGTTTATCTGTTGACAGATGAAGATTTGCTTCCATATTTTAGCTATTGTGAATAGGCTGCTATGAACTAATGATATGAACAAATGTCTCTTTTTAAAAATTATTTTATTTAACTTTATTCATTCATTCATTTTTATTTATTTTAATTTGACCAGAGAGGGACAGAGAGAGAGAGAGAGAGAGAGAGAGAGAGAGAGAGAGCGAGCGAGAGAAAGCTGCCAGGTTCAGAACTTGAACCATGGTTGGCCATGTGGGAGTTCAGCACCCTTAACCACCACACCACCTGCTGGCCCCAACAAATGTCTCTTTGAGACCCTGCTTTTAGTTCCTTTTTTGGTATATCCCTAGAATTGAAATTACTGGATTGTGTGATAAATCTATTTTTAACTTTTTGAGGATCCTATGCTATTTTCCACAGCAGTTTTATATTCCTGCAGGGGTTCTACTTTCTCCTGGTATCATTTTCTGTTTTTTTTTTTTTTTTTTTCCCTTTTTTTTTTTTTTTTTTTTTTTTTTTGCTACACACACACACACACACACACACACACACACACACAAATAATATACTTAATCAAGGAGGACCAGCAGATGGCAAAATGGTTATGTCACTGGACTCCCACATAGTCGCAGTCCTGGACCTGAGTCCTGGACCTGGCGGCTTAAACCTCATATTAGGCATGTGTAAATGGTGCCCAAAATCTTGAGAGGAAAATGAGGAAAGGGATTGCACCATGTCCATCCCTCCTGGGATTGATTTCTTACTTTCTATCTTTCTCTCTTTGCCTCTCTGGTGAGCACATGTGCCCTATAGCAAAAAGTCTCTAAAGCAAAACAAACAACAAAAGAAATGTTTTTTGGGGGATCAGCAGGTGGCATGGTGGTTAAGGTGCTGGACACTCCCACATGGTCCACCACAGTTTGAGTCCCGAACCTGGTGGCTTGCTTTCTCACTTTCCCTCTCTCTCTTTCTCTCTTTTTCTCTCTGTGTGTGTCTCTCTCTGGTCAAATTAAAATAAATGAATGAATAAATAAAATTACTTAAATAATTATTTGAAAAAAAAAGTTTTTAAGGATCAGCCTCCATAGCCTAGTTAAGGGAGCTGGATCCCACATACCTGATACAAAGTTTGAATCTTGGCCCTGGCACCTTGAAATATATGCCAGATGCATGCATGCTCAAGTTTCCAATAGGATGGAGAAATGGAAACGGAATTACAGTATGACTGTGTCCCAGTGAGGAGGTACTTTCTCTCCCTCCCTCTCTTTTTCTCTCTCTGGTGAGTGTACACACACTCACAAATATTAAAAAATAAAAATAAGTTTTTTGACCAACATAAATATGTATAGTTCTAGAGACATAAGTGAAATGATAAAATGCCTTTTTTGTAATATGTTATCTATTGATTTAAGATCAAATCGCACTAATTTTGTATATCAGTACTTTTTTTTACTTCTTTTTTTATGAAATATTTTTTTAAATTTATTTATTTTCATTTGGATCTTATCAGGTTGTCAGGAAAGCCATGACACATTTTTGCATAGAAAAATACATCATGACTTTCCTGACAACCTAACATATGTAAGTTAATTTATTATATGATGATTACTTGCAAGCAAACATGACACATAGTCATCAAGAAGCTTCTATCCTTGGCCCAGCAGAGGTGGTGCATGTGTGCTGCTGAAACACTGTGGTCCTAGGGCTAGTGTATCACATGGCAGACTGAGGTTTTAATTCCCTATCCAAACTAAAAACAGCGCAACAGCATGTATTTGTAATCCCAGTGATTGGAGAGGCTAAAGGAGAGAGATGGCGAACTTGAGCTTGGCCTAGACAACATAGCCAGACCCTGTTTTTTGGGGAAAAAGAAAGACAATACCTGGTGGTACCATGATTAGTTCCAGCCAGGGGGGCTGAGGCAGGAGGATTGGATTGTTACTCTTTCTTTAGCTTCTTTTCTTTGTTCAAGAATGCTACTCCATTGGGGGAGCTGGAAAGTAAACCAACATTTACTGGTTAGAATTACATTCATGAATATAATAGAACAGTATCATAGGAATGGGAGTAGGGAGGTAATTGACAAAGTAATACTTGGGATGATTCTCAGCATACATGAACTAAGTGAGAAGGGTTTAGGAGGATAAAGGCATTTCAAATATGTAAATAATATAAACTATAGTAAATGATATAGGATGGGGAAGAGGAAAGGCAAAACCAGAGGAATATGTACTGAGGCCTGATCACAAAGGACTTTCCAGATGACAAAGGTGTTAGAATTTATACTGTAGGTATTGAGAGCACCATTAGGGATTTTAAATAGGAAAGGGATAAAAATCAAACTTGTATTTTGGAACATATAGGCAGCAGCAAGGTGGAAGATGGTGTGATGATCAGTTATGAGCCTGCTGTAATCCAGGTAAGAAATGTTGCTCTAAAATCTTAGAGACTAGTAGTGGAGAAGGGAAAACAAGTGTTATGTTAAAAATAGAGTCAGCATTGTTTCTCACAGTAAGGCTAAATTAGAGATGAATAATATTACTGAGAAAAAATGCTGCATAAAATGTGTATTTAAAGTCTTTAGGGGTCAGCAGGTGTGGTAGTGGTTAAGGCGCCAAACTCCCATGTGCAGTTTTAGTCCCAGACCGGGCAGCTTGACACTCAGGCCAGGTGCGTGTGCATGAGTGCCCAAAATCCCAAGAGGAGAATGGAGGAGAAGGGATTGCTGAGTGGCCATCCCTCTTGGGGCGGGGTATGTCTGTGTGGGGGTGTGTGTGTGATTTTTTTTGCTTTCTGTCTCTCTGGCAAGCACACACACCTTACAGCAAAAATATCTTTTTTAAAAAAAAATACAAAACATTTGCTAATAATAACATGTTTGTTGATGTGCTTGATTGAGACAATATACAGTGTACTCTGGATGGAAAATCTCATTTTGTATGCTGTAATGATGTACAGTGAATGAATGCAAATAAATAAATTGGAAAAAAAAAAACTTTAAAACTGCACCACTGTGCTGGCAAGAGACTAAAAATGTGGGAATGCAGATCTTAACTAGCTTTAAACTAAGCTTTTACTCTGGTGGAAATCTGTCCAAACTGGATGACTTTGAGTTCTTTTATTTATTTTATTTATTTATTTTATTTTTAATTTGCCGGGGTTAGGGGGGAGTGATATGGTGATTAAGGGCACTGGGCTCCCACGTGGCCGATTGTGGTTTTTAGTCCCAGACCTGGCAGCTTGCTTTCTCACTTTCTCTCTCTCTGTCCTTCTCTGGTCAAATTAAAATAAACAAACAAATAAATAAAAGTTAAATAAAATAATGATCTTAAAAGAATGTATAAAACTTGCTAGAGGACACCTGCACTCCTTGGGGAGAAGGAAAGTAAGAAAGCAGTCCCCATGAAGAATGATCATGCAGAACTTCCCTCTTTCCTACCTATCCTGAGATTTTGTGCATATATGCACACATGCCTGGTGTGTTTCTCAAACTGCCAGGTCCAGGACTTGAATCACACATTCAGCTGTTACATGTGATCCTGCTGCCTTAACCACTATTCTACCAGGTCCTATGCATTCCCTAGAAAGGGTGGGAAGGGAAGGCAGGCTGGAGGGAGGGAGGGAGGGAGGGGAAGAGAGTCTTCTTGGGATTTGGGGCATACATGCCTGGCATGTTTTTCAAGTTGCTGGGTCTGGGACTCGGACCTTGCAGTCAGCCATGTGATATCCAGCCACCCTGACCACCAGATGGCCCCTAATTTTCTAAAAATTTCAGCCAGAGGGTGCTTGTGCTTGCTTAGAGCCCTGGGGAAGAGGTATGGAGAATGGTTGGGGGGTGGTGAGAAAACACTCCCCATGGGGGATAGTGGCACTGCAGTTCCATCTTCATTTCTTTGGGGATTTTGGCCACGTGTGCACAATGGCCTGGTGTGTTTTTTCAAGCTGCTGGGTCTAGGATTTGAACTGTGCAGTTGGCCATGTGGGATCCAGCTGCCTTAACCATAAGCTGTGCTGAATTTACCTTTTGATAGCTTCATAGGGCACAGGAAACAAACCCCTGGGCTGCCTTAAGGAGAGGAGTCTAAAAGGAGACCACTTCCCTTCCTTTACTAAGATGTTAATGTTTCAACTTGGCAGTGGTGAGCCCAGGTGTGTATGGGGGTGATATCTTCACGGAGAATTTATAACAAGGTCACTACAGAGTAACTTTCTTGTGAGGCCTAGGAAAACTTCCAGAATGTATGTATGTATGTATTTATTTATTTAGAGAGGTTTTTGCTATAGAGTGTGTGTGCTCACCAGACAGAGAGATAGAAAGCGAGAAACCACCCCCCGGGGGGATGCCCACGCCACAATCCCTTCTTCTCCATTCTCCTCTCGGGATCTTGGGCACACACGCACACACACCTAGTGTGAGTTTAAGCCACCGGGTCTGGGGCTCGAACTGCGTAGACTACGTGGGAGTCCAGCGACATAGCCATTATGCTAACTGCTGGTCCCCAGAATGTATATATAGTAGTCTTTGGTAGAACCCGTGGGGGCCTTGGAAAATCAAACCCAATCCACTTAGGAGGAATCTACTTCAACCTAAATTTCAGAAATCTTACAGATTAAAATGATAAGGCTATGAGTTCATAGTTTAAATAAATCACAAATTGTACTAAAACCATGGCAGTAGTGAGCAAGACAGTGATACGTAAAATTTATATTTTGTCTTG